CCCCCCCCCCCCCCCACCACCCTTTCGACCGCCGATTCTTTCCCGCGACAACGAGCTTGCGCAGATTTCTTCCCGGACATCCGCGTTAAACGTCGATCATCGTGAAATGCGAATTTCGAAAAGTGGACTGCGGATTTTCCTGCGGAATACAAATTTTTTTTGTACCGTAGGAATTGATAGTTAGACGAAAATGTGTTCTTTCTTCCGATAATTTCAACCCTTTGCACTCGAGCGGTGATTCGGAGGCGCCATTAAAATTGTTATATCACGTTCCATTTATTTTGTCCATATTATTTTTACATTATCAAAGTTTAGAATCAAAGAATTGCTGAATGCGTGTCCGTTGTTCGAGTCACAAGACTCAATTTCATATGCATAAAATGCATGAAATGCATAAAATGCACTTTGTCGTATAAAATGGAAATACTATAGCTCAGAAGAATTATTTTCAATTTACAGTTCAAATGGCTTCGAGTGCAAAGGTTTAATGCACTGAAAATATTTCTCCGTCCTGTATTTCAAATTTTTGAAAATTTCTCTCACTTATTTGTGATTATAAATGCATAAAATCCGCAGTCTATTAATCATGCATGCATCGTGATGATTCTTATCTAGGATGCCATTTTGAAACCGCCCATTAACACTTGAACTACTGGTTTCTGATTTTTTCTTCTACGATTCCTGATATTTCCAGGAGAAATTTTTAGGTACACTTTTTTACTCGAGCATATATTATAATATAAATCATACTAAGTTTTTTTTTTCTTGGCATTGTTATAAAACGATATACATCGCGTCTAGGGCTCTGCAGTTCTAGTGTTAAACGCCACTCAGCTTAACTACAGTGCTATTAACTTCTCTATTATCATCTTATAACAATAATTCCATTGTCAGAGAATTCCCGAATGCCTTATTATACTGTTTATCTCCGCTATTTACTTCAACCCCTTACAGAGAAGTCCGTCATAAACCAAAAATAACCATCGAGCCTCCTTAGCACTTTCACATTGATAACTAAATAAACAATTTCAAAAACATCCAAGATTGTGCACAAAGCTTTATGTGAAAAGTACAAATTTTTGATTTTGCATAAATCGATGCGAGTGTCTAGGAAACTGGCGAGAAGCAAAGCCATAGGTGACGTGAAAGCAAGCTCCGTTCGATAAGAGCGCAACGATAGAAGATTCTGTGCTGATTTTCATCCGAAAAAAAGAAAAGCAAATGTGTTTGGCAAGTATGAGAGAAGAGCCCTTACTCTTCCGGCGTGAGGATCATCTCGGATTTTTTCTTGCGGCCCCGCTTCTTGGGCTGATGCGGCGCCATTTGGGGATTCACGTTGCCGTTCATCACGCCAAGGTTCATCTGGAGATGCTGCGGCACGGGGAGCTGGCCGGGCGGCGTCGACGTAGGTGTGGCAAGGGCGGATTGCGCCCCAGAAGGGCACGTCATGTTCTCGGGATTGCCGGCAGGGCTGCTGGCCGTCCTCAGTCCGCCCATCGACATGTCCTCGTCGACGAACGAGTACTGGTCCACCGGGGTCTCGCACTTGATCGTCACCTGCGAATACAATTTCGAACATTGTAGAAAAGTTCCAAGTTCCCCAGAAACGGTCGTGTCCCGTTCCCCTGATATCGTTCATGCGAGCCGCCGCAACGTTGACCGCATCCGCGATTACAGATCCTTCGCGGCTGCGATAATTGGGAAATCTTTGTCTTCGGTGACAATGAACTAGGGATGGGCGATTCTTGCGGAAAGATCTTTTTGAAAATCGTTTTGAGAAAAAGTCGACGGAAATACCATTTGTAATAAATTCTCCCTAATTGACGCTCGGATTGTACACGAAAATGGACAATTTGGGGAAAGGAGATACGATTATACGAGCCTTGCGGCTCGTTTTTATAGTTACCGTTTATTAACAAATAAGAGATAATGACAGAAATAAACTAGAATAAATAACAAATAAAAAGCCTCGAATATTGATAATTAGCGCAAAAATGGCAATTTGGGAAGAGGAGATACGATTATTCGAGCCTTACGGCTCGTTTCTATAGTCACCGTTTATTAACAAATAAGGAATAATGACAGAAATAAACTCGGATAAATGACAAATAAAAATCCTCGAATATTGATAATTAGCACAAAAATGGCAATTTGGGAAGAGGAGATACGATTGTTCGAGCCTTGCGGCTCGTTTTTATAGAGTTACCATTTATTAACAAATGAGAAATAATGACAGAAACAAACTAGAATACATAACAAATAAAAATCCTCGAATATTGATAATTAGCGCAAAAATGGCAATTTGGGAAGAGGAGATACGATTGTTCGAGCCTTGCGGCTCGTTTTTATAGAGTTACCATTTATTAACAAATGAGAAATAATGACAGAAACAAACTAGAACAAATAACAAATAAAAATCCTCGAATATTGATAATTAGCGCAAAAATGGCAATTTCGTAAGAGGAAATACGATTATTCGCGCCTTGCGGCTCGTTTTTATAGAGTTACCGTTTATTAACAAATAAGAGATAATGACAGAAACAAACTAGAGCAAATAACAAATAAAAAGCCTCGAATATTGATAATCAGCAGATCGCGGATTTAATTCGTTTCACAATAAAGTCGAGCAGTTGCGATATGAAAAATGTCGATGTATTTCGATCTGTTCGAATCGCTGAAGAAGGAACGAACTTGTTATTTAGTTTCTATTATTTCGGATCGAACGCAGACAATTATTATTTCGCGGTAAAAATCCGCAGTTTAATAATTAGACTGTGGATCTTTTTACACGATAAAAAATTGTCTGTATCAATTGCATAAAAAAACAAAAACAAACAAACAATCCGGCGTAAAATCCGATACCGTGTATCGGATAAATCACAATTTCGTTGGATTACTTTAAAAATCAAATATAAATGTTCAAGGTTACAAAACGGTTCGTACTCTACCACGTTCTCTCTACTTTTCCCTTATCCCGCGCAACGGTTCGGCTTCGACGTGAAAATAAATCGCCGCTTCGCGTCTCTGTTTCTACGAAACAGAAAATTCTTCGATTTTTGACGGAACTTCGCCGTTTCGTCGAGTCGCGCGGTGGACCCGCGATGCACTTCGACGAATATAAACACTAGCAGTATTAATTACTGTGTATCTCGGGGGGAGGACGGTGTGCGACCCGTCCGCAGTGTCATCGATCACATGGATTCACCATGAATCGCGAATTGGGTCGCGCGACCGCCGGGGTCTTTTTAGGACGGCGGCGTGTCAGGTGCGAAATTAGCCGAAACGCGCGGAGGACAGGCGAATTAAAGATTTCGATGCTGCCTCGTCGTCGTCGTCGTCCCGCCGGGTGATTTTTTGGCGCGATGCTGCGTCGACGTCGGCCACACGCCGAGCCGCGACGACGCCGCCGACGTCTCCGTTTCTCACCGAAGCTGCCGCGCGCGGCTGCCACGGAATTCATTACGAATTCCTGCCGGCTTTTTTTCCTTTTTTTTCTTTTTTTACGTGTCCGTTCGTTCGGAAAATAAAATTTGAAGCGGCACGTAGCGCACGTGCCATCATGAACACGTAGACCGGCGACCGTAAAATGTATATTCCCGTTGGTATACGGCCTGAAAATTGTCGGGATAATAGCGATTGCCGCTTGCATCGAAAATACAGGTCGCGCTTGAACGCGGGGCTGCTCGTTATTTATGCCCGCGTTTCCCAATTTTGCTTCGTCATCGCGGACTTTTCTTCGGGATTAAGTCAATTTCTCTCCAATTGTCCCGCAGCTTGTAAACGAAGACGGACAATTTCGGGAGGGAAGATACGATCGTTCGAGATTCGCGGTTAGTTTTTACAATCGTCGACGATCGGAAAAACGAGTCGCCAGGCTCCCCAAATCGTCCATTTTTTATTTACAAGTTGATGGACCGTCGGAGAAAATTTATTGTTCTTGTGTCATCTGTCTCTCTCTCTCTCTTTTTCTTTGTTTAACAAGGTAAATGTCCCGGCGATCGGATGATAAACGACAGACTTTCCGTCATAAGCCGCTTATCAGACCGCTAAGCGATCTGCGAATCTTTATGGAAAATAACAACTTTTTCGTGTCGATTGCAGGAAATAGAAACCAAGTAGACTCCTTTAATCTCATCTTAATCGACCGAAAATAATATCCCGGATCGAGTAGCTTCATCGAATCTCGTTTGCCATTTTAAACTGCACAAGCTCGCGCATTTTGTTTGTCGCAAATGCATCAAATATCCTCGGTCTACCAATAATAATTACACATTCACGGTAAGGAGTAAAATTGTTCACGCATTTAACGAAATTGCGAGTTGTCGCGTTTCTCCTTTCGACCGCAGAAACGTCCGCAGTTGCAAGTCAATTAGAACGACGGAGGAATCGGCGACGAATCGATAAAAAAATGACTTTAATATTTCCGTCGGTTCCCTGGACTTCGCAAATTACCGAATGCTGAACGTTGCGGCCGGATACTGTTCCGTTCGAAACAATCTCCGCAACATCGGATTCGTCGGAATGCCAGAAATTTGCGAAAAATGTCTGACATCGCAGCGACGCCGGAGATGTCTGTCAAATCGCGACGGAACGCGCTCGCCGCGTGAAAACGCTTGTTAAAATCGGAGAAGAATTGTTGCGCATGGTTCGATCGGGTTGCCGGCTTTGTTCGCGAGCTCGTCTCATTTGACAAATCGTATCGCGACCGGCGCGATTCCCTTCGAAATAAAACCCTTCCGATTTGTTGCATTGCCGGGGCACAATGCCGGCGCGGCGCGCCACGGCTCGGAGCAATCGCCGACAATTATGTTCAGCGGCGCTATTGAGAATCGATGGAGGCGAGGCTTTACCGTTTGTTTCTTCCACCGGCGAGCCAATGAGTCGCGCGCGATCTTGATCGGGCCAGGAGTAGAAGAAAAAAAATCACGGCGCGTCAACGCGGGTCCCGCCTGTCCGAATCGAAATCGGCGAAACCGACCGAGAAAATTAGACCGCGTCGCGACGCGTTTCTCAAGAATTTTCGTACACGATTTATGGTATCGCCGCGCGATCACGATACAGCCGCGCGCGGCGGCATAAATATTTATCGGCGCAATTCGCGGAAGTTGTAAACGGGAACGCGCGATTCTTCGACGCTCGGAACAACCGCATTGATAACACCGCCGCGCGTCCAATAATTACGCTCGCGGAATTCGCCGAGCGCTTCGATTACGCCTGATTCACGACCTTTCCCCCCTCCCCCCGCCGCGCGAAACCGCCCGTGACTCACGTGCGGGCAATAAAGGAAGAACGTAATTAAAGACGATCCTAAAAACTGCATCGCGGCGGCACAATCATGCTCCATTATTTCCCGGCCGAACGATAGAGACGACGCCGATCTCGTACGTACGCCACCGAACGAAAAACTTGCCGCGATGTTACGGGGGCGCGACGATGTTCGGACGTCGTCGACGTTCATCGGTCGTTTTCCGCTTTTTTCCCCTCCGCTGCGAGTTGTGGGCGGTCCGCGGTCCATCTTTATGCAAAATAAAGTGTTTCTTCGTCGATTGCATCAACCAGGAGACGAATAATAATATTCTTTAGTATTCTTAAATATTCTTAAATAATTATATTCTTTGATATTCTTTAATATTATATGTTAAATAGAATAATATTCTTTCTTCTAATAATTTTAACAAAGTGGTAATGATTTGACAATTTTCTTACATTTTTTTTGTCTCTTCACTGCTCTGCATTTCGCTCGTCCATTTTTACCATAAACGCATAAAATCCGCGATCTAGTCGTGAGCGATGTTCCCAGAGAAATAAGTTACGCGAGGAGTGAGGTGGGAATGCGGTGTAATTAGAGCGCGGATTTTATGCATTTATGGCAGAAATGGATACGAGAAATGTAAGAGGGCAGTAAGGGAGCAGATTGAAAGAAACTGCTTGCTAAAATTATTTAGGGGAGTACAAAATCTACATCTGGCTCTCCCACGCCTTGCGATTTTTGTATAATTTCTGTATAACTTATAATTTCGAACTACGATCGAAATCGAATTATAATGCTCACCCGGTAGACGCGCCACGCCGCCGTGCGGAACACCCGGCGCATGCGTCGCCTGTCCCCACTCCTCGCGTAACTTATTTCCCCGCGAAGCCTGGTTACGAGGTCCATTCCGGCTCTCTTCCTCGGTTCTCGAGACAGAGAACTGAAATAGCTATTTGCCGCGATACTAAGCGCGACCTTCGAGCGAACCGACCAAAGAAAAAAGTGCGTGGGAGAAAGAAAGAAGCTATATTCGCTGTCCGAGTCCGACAGGCGCCGCGCCGCGCTCGATTATGTCTGTCGCTGACCGTGTGTTTGTCGGTCTTATGTTGCCTCGGTCTAAGGCTTATCCGAGAGCAACAGCCCGCGAGAACGGACCGCGATGAAAGATCAGCGAAGTTATAGCAACCTTGCTATTCTCTTTCCGCGAAACACCTTTCGCGAACGCGCTATCGTTCGGTCGGATAACAGTGGTCGTTGCTAATTGCGAAGGTACTTTGCTGCTAGCTTCGAAAAAGTTCTACATATA